GCCTTGTGAATCCGCACGTGTGGGTACCACCACTCAGCTTATTTCTACCATGAAGCTGTAATGCGTTTCGGTTTGAAGATTGGAGCAGCTGTTATCTATATATTAATACGTGAAGCAAAAGCTTTGTATCTCTTTTTACGAAAATTGCGCGGACGGAGGAGTATGAAATTTTCCACACTTATAGAGAATATAGAGAAGAAGTGCACAATGCTAATATTTTTTTTAAATAATGCAAATAAGATATATTAAATCAATAAAGAAAACATTACACACACTACATACCATGTATTTGACGCACACACGCATGCTCACTATTTATTGTCAAACTTTTGTTCTTGACGTCTGTGGTCAAATTGAGAATAGATTAAATATTGTTTGTCTTTATTAATATTTTTTTATAATGTAACCTTGGCGAAATTTGTGATTATAGAAGTATAAAATACAATCATAATAGTGTACAAACTTACAATTCCAATTAATTATTTAGTCGAATTTCGACTAATGCGGGACCTCTAGTACTGTAAAAACTGAAACCCTAGAACTCATGTCTCGAGATGGGTGGTAGCATTTACATTGTAGATGGGCTTTTCACTTCATAAATCAACAAACAATCATCACTACTCGAAACCTGTGTAAAACTGCTAAAACTAATTCCCTTTTTTTTAAATCGCGTAGGTATACGTATGAGCAAGTTCACGGGGTGCCTGCCTCCACTCACCTTGAGTCATGAGATCGCAATCTCAATTGTATAATATAAAATCAGTCACATTCCTCATACTGTATCGCATCATTTTATTCAGTATTTTTACGAAAATTTCTAAGCGGATAGCTAATACGATCGGTAACAAAAATTACAGTTTCAAAAATTTCCAAACACGAATTCAGGGTTATTAATTACAAAACAATTTTATAAAATTAAGTAACAACAAATGGGTTTATTAAGCAAAAGAAAATAATTTCCTAATTCGGCCACGACTCGCAACTAGTATCTAGTAATTATTAATATATTATTTCGTAATTCTTCATTTGTCACGTACGATTTATACGTGAGACACACTAAAAACTCTAGTTTGAATTATAACGCTTTAATATCAATTATTGAATGCTTCATTTGATAAACCACGATTCTGAATAGAATATTGTTTATATAACTTTTATCGGTTCAACTATCGATAATTTAGTCAAAGTTTTATTAGAATTATTTCATGCCAGGCTTATCAAGGGTTAGGTCAAGCAAAAAAATGTTTAGAGATAAATGTCGTTAAATATTATTGCGTAGATAGTAAATGTAATTTGATGGTTGGTTGCTAANACTGATCGCGCGTTTCTCTCATTATTGTATTTTCATATATTTGTTAGTCGTTTGTTTTGTGTCTCGTTAATTTGTTAATAATCTGTAGTGTATCGTGTTGTCGTAATATAGAACTATTTCTCGTATTGTTTCGTTTAATTTTTTATATCCAGTAAACTCCAGTCGTGCGTCGGAGCGGACACACACACTTTTTTTTGTCCTTCTAGGCAGATGAGTATACGGCCCACCTGATGGTGAGTGGCTACCGTCGCCCATGGACTTCAGTATTGCCAGGGGCAGAGCCAAGCCGCTGCCTAAGGTTAAGTACTCTCCACAAGCCTCGTTTGAAGAAGAATATGAACTCTACTCCGGTGGCGGGCGGTGCGATGCTAAAAACAAGATGATGGCATTGTACCGCCACAGTATCATCTCAAACAATTCCTCAGAGTACTCCCCATGGAACATACTTTACAAAATACAGAGGGAACCGAAGTCCCACCGCAGACCCAGAGGTTCCAAACGATCCGTGAGAATGGGATTATTGACAATCCGAACGTAAACTAACATAACAATATGCTGTTGGAAATACTTTTTTTTAAATAATAAGCAAACATAAAGCATGTTTGTTTTTCATGTTAATTTAGTTGCGTAAATTAATTTACCTAGCCGTTGGTGTGATCAAATAACCGCCCTAACTGGGCTGCCAGTTGCAACCGCCATTCGAGAAGCTGAGGACCGGACGAGATGGAAACAGCTCACGAGACAGGCCACGGTCAAGTTTCAGGGACACGACCTTCAGCAATGAAGAAAGCGACGAAGAAGAAGTTGCGTAATAAATATCCTACTGCTTCTGAATTCTTAAAATTAATAATTAAAATCACGGTGACTATTAATTAATTTACTGCATTTAAAAGTAATTTCATAATTTTCATATTTAATAATTTAAGTCGTCGTGGCCTAACGGATAAGACGTCCGGTGCATTCGTGTTGAAGCGATGCACCGGTGTTCGAATCCCGCAGGCGGGTACCAATTTTTCTAATGAAATACGTACTCAACAAATGTTCACGATTGACTTCCACGGTGAAGGAATAACATCGTGTAATAAAAATGAAACCCGCAAAATTATAATTTGCGTAATTACTGGTGGTAGGACCTCTTGTGAGTCCGCACGGGTAGGTACCACCGCCCCGCCTATTTCTGCCGTGAAGCAGTAATGCGTTTCGGTTTGAAGGGTGGGGCAGCCGTTGTGACTATACTGAGACCTTAGAACTATATCTCAAGGTGTGTGGCGCATTTACGTTGTAGATGTCTATGGGCTCCAGTAACCACTTAACATCAGGTGGGCTGTGAGNGAATAACCGCCCTAACTGGGCTGCCAGTCGCAACCGCCATTCGAGAAGCTGAGGACCGGACGAGATGGAAACAGCTCACGAGACAGGCCACGGTCAAGTTTCAGGGACACGACCTTCAGCAATGAAGAAAGCGACGAAGAAGAAGTTGCGTAATAAATATCCTACTGCTTCTGAATTCTTAAAATTAATAATTAAAATCACGGTGACTATTAATTAATTTACTGCATTTAAAAGTAATTTCATAATTTTAATATTTAATAATTTAGGGAATTCAAACAAGTATTATTCTCCATCCTTTTACTTAATTCATATATTATGTTCTATGCACGACCATTACTATGAACGCAGCATTGACTAAATTTTTTTGTTTATTTATTAATATAGAAATAATAATAATAACACCGTGTTTAATATCTATAAATGTATTTTACATTTAAACGTATAAGTATATATCAGTATCTGATTTGAATTTGATTGAAATTTTAAATTGGGGCCAAATCACCATCTGTGAGTTCTCAACGATTATTTACTATTTAAAAAGTATTAACATTCTCATATCCCAACAATTATATTAAAAAGATGAAGCTTTTAAGCTAGATTGAATTTAAAAGTGTTTACATTACCTTCTTTATTTTACTGATATGTGTTCTATTTTTTTAAGTTTATCCAATCTACTAAGTCCTGCCTACGATGCTGTTATGGATAAGGATGTCCTGTACTATTGTATTCTTGATCTCCTTTTTTCAAGAAAAGTAACAATTTGAGGTTTTTGATAGTATCAATATAAAATTGACTAAAAGTATAAAAACGTTTGATTTTGGTACTAGTGATCGGCTTTTGTAATCACCAGGCCACGAGGCCCGTGAACTAGTCTTATTAGTGGTAGTACTAAGCCCGGTAGTACTGAGCATAGTAGTACTGATCCTATTAGTACTGAGCGGCTATGAGTTCGGCTATTGTCTAAAGGAATAGAAGAACGAACGATATAACTAGGCGATTTTTACTGGGATTACTGCAGGGTGAGAAGAGCACACTCTCAAAGGCCGCCTTCTGTTCCTGCAAGATGGCGCATTGGCAGAAGTCTAGTACCGTCCGCTACGCCTCGATGCTATCAAGCATTGCAGCCATTACGTGTGCAGTAACAAGTTAGAACGTTACGCGGATAGAACATGGCCACGCCTCTATCACACGGGACTAACCGCGTGCGTAAGTTCCTCCAAATGTGCAGGTTGCATCCCCAATATTGGCAACCTGCATTTGATTTAGCTTCAAACCAGTGTAAGTGCTTCTCGAAGCAACCACCATCGGTCAGCAACTACACTAATTGAAAGATGAGACGACCGTGGTTTCAATTTAGGTCCAAGTCTTTAGGACTGGGTGACTCGCCTCGACGGTGCGTAGACCGTCGAAGGATCGACCGATCGCGTATCTGCAGTACGACATTAGGCTCTTCGTGCATAGATAATAATAGAGCGGGAATGGGCTAAGTCACTACCTCTGTCTGCAGGATTAGGATGGTGTCCCTACCTGCTTCCAATGGGCTGCTGCCATAGCTGTAGCAGCTTCGCAACTTGTATTATTAAAAACTACTACATCCGGTAGATTTTGTAGAAGCCAAAGACCAAAGGCTAAAGGGGTCGCCAAACGATAAGCAGCGGCGTTTTCTGAGTATTTAAGCAAAATACTGTGAACACCGACCGGTATTTACTGGTGTTAATAAGTGAATACGCCTTCTTTTTTTTATTGCCTAGATGTGTGGACGAGCTCACAACCCACCTGGTGTTAAGTGGTTACTGGAACCCATAGACATCTACAACGTAAATGCGCCACACACCTTGCCACGAAGCATCATTCATTGAAGTTCATGGGTAGAAAGACCCTAAAATACAATCGAAGTTCCAACTCCACGTCTCAAGGCATCTGTCGGCATTCACGTGATCTGAACGATGAGCTTCGGTAACCAGTAACCACTTAACACCGGCTAGGCGATGAGATCGTCTGTCCTTGAAAATGATATCAATTAGAGAGCTAGGCATGCAAATAACGTGAGAATATCGCTAATGCGATTTAATGTACTATAACCAAGATCGTAGGCTTTTTAACTACACTAGTACGTTTCTCTATCTCAGTATGAAGTTTAACACGTGAATGGAATAAAGCAACATAAAATATCCAATCCAATATTATGATTGTATGTGGTAAAATATGCGGTTAAAACATACGATTTCGTTTCATTGTTTTTCTGCGTAGAACAATGTTTAATAATTTCGAAAAATAAAATTAATTTATTGTATTTTAATCTAATTTATTGAAACAAGCACAATAAGCTGTAATAAATAAATTCAAAAATATTTACCTAATAGCGGTCCAACGATGAGCATGTAACAAATTAATATTAAGATGACTTGTACGCGGTGGGTTCCCTCTCTCGCTTTAAAGCCCACTTTTACCGTTGCTACGAGGTCTGACAATGAGAACAAAGATACACACTCAAGCTTCGTACCGTCAACTGTTTTCTTCTTTTTCTCTTTTATTCTCAACAGAATATAAATGAAGCCGAACATGTAAATGAAGCAAGCGGTCACGAAAACCGCCTTGTAACCGAAGTTGCTTGTCATTATCCCGCTTAGAGCAAGACCGACGGGCTTGCTCAGTGTCAATACGGCTGTTACTATCCCTATACGAAAAGTCCTTTCTGATTCACTTGTGATATCAGAGATATAACTATAAACCGCCATCGTCATGGCAACGCGGCCACCAGCCAGTGCAGGCAAGAGACCTTCCAGAAGTGCAGTCTCATTCATACCGACTTGCCGGAAGAATACCGCACTCAACATGACGCCGATCGCAGATATTAATTTTCCGAGAATAGGCACGATCATGAAGGCCTTTCTGTTGCCTGTGCGGTCGCTCCAGGCCCCTATAAATAGGGCTAGGATGCCTGGCGGTGCCGTTTGCAGGGGTGAACTCCAACTACTCATCGTAGTGACCATTCTTTGAACTTTTTTTTCTTGTTCTGTGTAGTTCTGAGTGCGTCCTTGCATTATATGCCTGCAAGTTTCCTCGTCGTACTGCAGGTTCACTAGGCACGATTTTTCGAGGCACATATTTTGAACCGCCAGCCCGGCTAGCACACTCGGTAATACGTAACATATCACAAACGGTTCGACGGTGATTTTCGTTCGCAACCGCCATATTTTCTTTAGAGATTCCTTTAAATCGCGCGATAGTTTATTTTCGGTGTTGATTTCTTTACTGTATTGTTTATTGCACTTGCAGGGTTCGACACTAACAACTTTTTCGCCGGGCACTTCGACCCGCAGCGTCATTTTGATTATCGTTCACTGTTCGTTGCATTTATTTTATTTTGTTCATGTTATTTAAAACACGCGAGTAAATTTATTTAGGGTAGATAAAATTATAAAGAAATTTACTCTGTAATTGCGATCTTTTTGATGTTATAATATTATTATTTTTTTTACAATTTATTTTGCAAGACAGTGTACAGTGCATGTAGGAGCGCGTGCGGCGATGCTGTGTTGCGCGCAGTACGGCTGCCACGAACAACGTTGTCTTTGTAACTGGCTATCAGTTGTTCGTTGGAACTATTTAATTTGTTCTTTATCGATTCATCACGTGGCCACTTTTGATTCTTATTCTCGTGTTTACTGATTTAGTGTATAAATTTTATATAAAATTTACAAATTCATCTCTATATAATATCTATATATATATAAAAATGAATTGCTGTTCCTTAGTCTCGCTAAAACTCGAGAACGGCTGGACCAATTTGGCTAATTTTGGTCTTGAATTATTTGTGGAAGTCCAGAGAAGGTTTAAAAGGTAGATAAATATAAAAATGCCCGGAATTAAATAAAAATAACAATTTTATTTTTCCTTTGATGTGTCCCCCGTCCTTTTGTTTGTTTTATTTTATTTTATACAAAACTTTAGGTCTTTTATTTATCGATTGAGGCACTACGAAGTCTGGCAGGTCAGCTAGTTTAATATAAATTGATTAAAAAAATGTTTATAATTCAATTCTATGTCTTTTGTCTCGTGTTGCATATAACAAAAACACAACTATATATTGCATATAACTATAAGAAAACACATGAAATCATTTATTTCGTTTCAGATTAAAACATTTATTGCGTTGGTTGTTTTATATGTTCAACATTTATTTTTAAATCAAGGACTTTACGGTAAGAATGTTTAAATGAAAACAAATTTAATTAAAATTACTTTTACAATTGAATATCCCGTTTGTTTTTTTTTATTCTAAAATAATTTGCTACGTTTGGAAAGGTGTCAGTTCTTGTGGTCACAGACGATCGACAAAATATTCAAATTTCGACGAAGCATGAATGTAAAATTTTATTATTAGGAGTGTAAACCATAATAGTACGTAGTTTTCCTTGTGTCTAAGGTTCGCGAAAACAAAAAAACAAATACTAAAAATAACTTAACAATTTATTGGCTCTAATTCGATTTATAGATTTATTTTAGTTACTCTGTATGGTTAAACAAGCTCACTAGTCACCTTATTTTATATGGCTACTGGAGGCACTAAAGATCAAAATACTAACTTATATACCAATCTTGGCCTGGTGAGATCAAAATCTAAAAGGATGATTTATTAGTAAAATCAAATTAGCTGAATAAATGTTTAGAATTAAGTGAAACGTGCTTAGTTTATAAACAAGCAGTAGAATTAATAGTACAGCTGATGTTTTTAATATTACTAGAGGTCCCGCAGTAGTCGAAATTCGACTATATAGGTAATTAATTGGAATTGTAAGTTTGTACACTATTATAATTGTATTTTATACTTCTATAATCACAAATTTCGCCAAGACCACACTATAAAAAATATTAACAAAGACAAACAATATTTAGTCTATTCTCAATTTGAAAACAGACGTCAAGAACAAAGTTTGACAATAAATAGTATGCATGCGTGTGTGCGTCAAATACATGGTATGTAGTGTGTGTAATGTTTTCTTTATTGATTTAATGTATATTTTATGAATTATTTAAAAAAAATATTAGCATTGTGCACTTCTTCTCTATATTCTCTATAAGTGTGGAAAATTTCATAACCCTCCGTCCCCACAATTTTCGTAAAAAGGGATACAAAGTTTTTGCTTCACGTATTAATATATATATATTATATTATTATTAGATTAACGCGTACTATATAAGAAACTAATAAACGTATACATTTTTTAAATTATATTCTTATCATCAAAACCGATTCAGCAAAGTCACTCTTTTTCTCGTTCAAGTCAACAAATTTCTGCATACACGCGAATTCTATAAATAAAGTTCAGACAAAGACGAATGAACCAAACGGCCGTTTTTAAAAATACTCTCGGTCACGTTAATAATCTAAATGAATCTTTGGGGTTTTCGCGTAACAACCGTATGTATATTCAACTCAATATTTTGCTTCAAATTATATTCTATTCTGAAAGTGAAATTGGTTTTCGATCAATATAATGAAGCTAACCCCAACCGCGCTTTCTTGTGTCTTTATTTTTGATATAAATAGCTTCTCTATTTTAATCAAACTTTGTTAAACATTCTGAGGATTTAATTTTTATAAGTAGAGCTCCAATTATTTTTCAGAAGTACAAGTAGGCTTCGATACTCCATATAACATCAGCTATCTGCCAGTTAAAGTCCCTTCAATAGCCTAAAATTTAAATTCCCTCTAAAAAATCAAACTACAACATATAATACTGAATGCTCTACTTTTTTAAACTGTAAAACGTGCAAAAGGTCGTATCTTTTTCTCATATTACATCACGTAGTACTGCGGTCCAATTTTACCTAAAAGTCGGTCAAGATTTTCAATGAAAGTTGCGTAATACGTAAGTACTAGTAAATTGTTTTTCTATTGATAAACATTTGTGAATGGATCTATTATGAAATGTTCAAGGAGCATTGTAATCGATGTCAGCTATATACGTCAGCTAATTATTTTACTTAAGGGTAAAAAACTTAATTAATTTCAAATGTTTTCATAAATTCCTTATTAATACAAATAGCAAAACAAAATTGGTAAACCGTGCGAAACATCGAAAAGAAGAAAGAAAAAAAATGAAATGTAAGAATCCAAAAAGTAACATATCATCCACTCAAAATGTTAATACAGTGCTTATTTTATTATCCTTTAGGCCACAACGACTTCTTATGACAATTCGCTTGGAAGGAACTCTTCCAACTTCCATCCTCCGTTGGGAGAGGGCCGAAAATCCATTGAAATTTTGAAATTTGTCGTTATCACCAAAACTTCATATCGTCACTTTTAGCAGGCTTCACTTTCATATTTCAATGTTGTTTACTATATCCTATTATAGTCCTATGTCTACAAATATTTTTCAACTAATATACTTCAACACGCAATGAATGACATTATTAACGATTTGATTTGGGATTTTGAAATGAAGCGAGTGACAGATATAGAATTTACTGGTGAATATTTACTGGTGGTAGGACCTCTTGTGAGTCCGCGTGGGTAGGTACCACCGCCCTGCATATTTCTGCCTATTTCTACGTTGTAGATGTCCATGGGTTCCAGTAACCACTTAACACCAGGTGGGCTGTATCCTCGTCCAGCCATCTAAGCAATAAAAAAAAAGAACATACTGTACAAAATACAAAGAGAACTGAAAGTCCTTCCGCAGAATCAAAAGATCGAAACAAACCATCAGAATAGAATTGTTGATAAACTGAACTGCCCTCTTCTGTATGGAATCAAATGGAAGTAGCTGGTATAATACTGCTGTACTTTCACCGATAAATCCCTTAGTCGTCATTTATGACACCCACGGGAAGATATGGTTTGGTGCTATTTTAGGCGATTACACGGCATAGGCAAATGAGTGAAAAAAAATACTATACCTCTGTCAATGTAAAAAAAAAACAATAAACGGGCTTTTAGTGTGGGACGCCTTAAGAATAAATATGGAAAATGTTGCAGAATGAGGAGATTGCGATAAAGAAACAACAAAAAGGATGCGTATTGCGAAAACTTTCCGATTTTGTTATGAATATTAAAAGTCGTCGTGGTGGTCTAAAGAATAAGACGTCCAGTGCATTCGTATCTAGTGATGCTACGGTGTTCGAATCCCGCAGGCGGGTACCAAAATTTCTTATGAAATACGTATTTTACAAATATTTAAGATTGACTTCCACGGTGAAGGAATAGCATCATCATCATCATCAACATCAGCCTTTATCTGCCCACTGCTGGACATAGGCCTTCCCCAATGCCTTCCACATAATGCGGTCCTCCGCCTTCCGCATCCAACGACTTCCCGCCGTGCGCACTAAGTCGTCAGTCCACCTGGTTGGAGGACGCCCCACGCTCCTTGTACCCATCCGTGGCCTCCATTCGAGGACTTTCCTCCCCCATCTGGCGTCGCTGGCTCGACAGATGTGTCTGGCCCATTGCCACTTCAGCCTGCTAGCTTTGAGAGCTATGTCGTCGACTTTGGTTCTCCGTCGAATTTCTTCGTTCCGGATTTTGTCCCTTAGAGAAATACCTAGCATAGCTCTCTCCATCGCCCGCTGTGCGACTCTTAACTTATGGGCCAGCCCTGCCGTCAGTGTCCAGGTTTACGCGCCGTAGGTCATAGCATCGTGTAATAAAAATTAAGCCCGAAAAATTATAATTTGCGTAATTACTGGTGGTAGGACCTCTTGTGAGTCCACACGGCTAGGTGCCACCACCCCGCCTATTTCTATCATGAAGCAGTAATGCGTTTCGGCTTGAAGGGTGGGGCAGCCATTATAACTACACTGAGACCTTAGAACTTACATCTCAAGGTGGGTGGCGCATTTACGTTGTAAATGTGTATGGGTTCCAGTAACCACTTAACACCAAGTGGACTGTGAGCTCGTCTGCCTACATAGGCAATCGTGTGTAGATGTCTGCAACTCTTCAATACCGTCGCTACCACTGTACATCTGGGTATAAGTGGCCACAGTAGCGGAGATAATGATAGTTCCTTTACGATGACTAGATCACCCGTCTTCAAGGGCTCTGCAGATGTTTTACACTATTTAGATTTTTTTTGTAATCATGAGATGTATTCTTGAGAGAATCTTTTCCAGAAATGTTGTTTGAGATATTCTATTCTGCGAAACCTCTGCAGACTGGTTATATTGGTACTATCTGGTACTTGAGGATGTGGCGCAAACATCAGTGATCGTTCGAAAAGGAAATGAGCTTGGAGTTCATGGAGTGAAAGCAGATGGGTCATCCGATACAGGAGTTAATTAGTTAATTAGGGGAGGTCTCGAATTTATAATCGCTTCTATTTGTGTCAAACATGTTGCCATTTCTTCAAAAGTGTGCGCTTAAAATGATATTTTGTGGATTTTACTGCTGACTCCCAAATACCTCCGAAATGTGGAGTGTAGGCAGCGATAAATGAAAATTTAATACTTGAATCGAAATGACTAAGTACTAAATCTTGTGACAGAAATCGAGCCCTCGAAATCGTTGAAGGCTCCTTCAAAGGTTGTGCCATTGTCTGAGAAAATATTGCATGGTTTTCCTCTCCAAGCAATAAAACGGCTAAGAGCAGCCAGAAAGGCTTCTTTTGTCATATCTGAAACGTGCGAAACGTGCGTCTGAACGTCTGAAAGTGTCAAG